TAGACCAAAATGCTTGTCCAAAGGTATACAGATGGGTCCCAATTACATAAGATGCATGTCAATTTATGTAGGTTTCTTGGTGGTTTGGCATGTATCGTGTGTATGATTTGTATGCAAGACACAAGAAATACTGTTAAAGATGGTTTCAACATATAACAATCGTTAAACATGTAACTATTGGTTAAATGTAAGCTATTTTAATAAAATCAATCGGATAAGACACAAATATGAACATGCCCAGCACAGTTTTTTTTTTGTTTTTATTTTAAATTATTTTACAGTATATAATGGCACAAAAGAGACTTGCAAGGTTTGCAAAGAATAATATGAGGATACACATGAGTTTCTTATTTTTACTCTGAGATTAACTAGACATTATTGGGTTTCATAACAATGTTCTATTTAGAATGTAATGAAGTACCTTCTTCAGTTATAGTGTATCTGCTCTTTTAATCGAATAAAATATCTCAAGAATGTGTAAGAACAATTTATATATTACATATATACAGAAATATGTCTGTGAGCTTTCTACCATATTCAAACGGGAGTCTTTAGATATATTTAATATTTCCATGAGCTATGTGATTAACAACTACAGCAAAATATGTTGGAGAAAATTATCTTTGAAAGTTTTCCATCAGTGGTTTAATTAACATACAGTGGACAGAAAGCAAACAATCTGTTCAGCCAGACTACTCAAAGGTTCCTCCTGTTGCTTTTGTTTTCACTACAGCTGGGAAGGGAAAAATTGTATTACTTATAACCCTTTAGCTTGCTTCTGAGTAATTCGTTTTGGTGGTGATTTAAAGAATAATTTAAAATATTTTTATGAGTTTGAAAGCACATGAAGTGCATAGGAATAATTTACAATGTAGATAACCATGCTGTGGTTTTGCCAATTTTTCTCAGTATTTCTGTAAAACATTCATTCTTGACTTGTTTTATCTTGTCTAAAAATCATTCTGAAATGGGATCAAAATCTAAGCCAATTTCATACTCCAATCTTGATGAACCATGGAGTACTGAATTATGAGCATATAGGAATGTTTCCTCTTATTATTCATAACACAACCAGAGAAAAATAATTAGATCTAAACTAGCAACCAAAAGAAAACTCACAGAAGCCAAGCCTTAAAGCTCACAAATTTTCTTATTAAAAAACCCATCAGTTCCTTCCTTAGATCCTGTTTACTCTTTGTAAATATGAGAACCAGCAAGTAATCAAGAGACAGGTTTATAAAGTTGAAGGTAGAAAATTCTAGGAGGAGCAAGCATGTCCATAATGGAAGCAAACCAATCAACAGCTGTAATTGCTGTTAATGTGACCATGAAGCAAGAGAGAAAAAAATTACACAACACTGCTTTTTTTTAGGGGCGGGGAATCCCCACCAAAACCCCATAGCTGTCTAGGGACTTACCCTCGTAAGTGCCAGAGTAAGCATGTATGCGTGTCTTCTACAGGAGGCCTCCCTGTCTGTGAAATTTACCTTCCCCAGTAATCCTGCTAAAGTGTTAGTTTGAATGTTCATGACGAAAACAAAAATTTGACATAATCGTTAATCAGCCATCCCAAATTTCAACTTAAGTGGTATTCAAAGATAAACTGAGGCATATTAAAAAATTTCAAGAATTTACCTGAGCAAAGATCAATTTCATTCTGGCAGCACTGAGCTAGAAATGATCAGAAGGGTTCCAATGACAGGAGCTAGGGGGGAGACTTGTATGGGAAAAAGGCAGAAGCAAAGCAAGAAAACTGTTTGAGGAGTTATCTGATTCAGAGAAGCTTAGTTGGCTGTTGAGGAAATGATCAGAAGGGCTCCAATGACAGGAGCTAGGGGAGAGACTTGTATGGGAAAAAGCCAGAAGCAAAGCAAGAAAACTGTTAGAGGAGTTATCTGATTCAGAGAAGCTTAGTTGGCTGTGTGACACTGGTTATCCTTTGGTTTTGATTTCTTAATCTGGAGGCATTTATAGGTCTAGGGTTTGGTTTGCTTGTGTACACTTCTGAGGTATCAGAACGACCTCAATCTAATGGTCTCTTTGTCTACTTAATTTAATAGTGGAGAATATGGGTTTTATCACCCCTGAGTTTAGAAGCTCCTTTTCATGTGTTCTCTAGAGTAAGAAGGCAGGGAGAAAATGAGAAAGGGGACTCAAGGAAGTTGAGAAGTAGACTTTGCTGTGCAGCCCCTCCAATGTTACGTATTCCTCTGCCTCTCCCTGCCCTGTGCGGGGACCACAAGGGCTAGGGTGACGTCACTGGCCTACAGGCATCACAGAAAGTACCCTATTTTGTCTTGTGTTATAAATCTCTGGAAAGATAGTAATAACATTAATATCAGGCAGTTAATATCCAGCAGCATGGACTGTTTCTAAGAAACCAAGAGTTGTTTTGAAAATTCTGTTTTGAAGATTTTAATAAAGATTAATTCTTTGAAGTTTTAGGTAGACTTCCTGATTTACATTTTAGAGGAATGACAAACCTCTGCTGTTCCCTTTGTGTGATTCTTTTTAAAAACCATTTTTAAATCCAGGAGCATTTAATCTATTAACTGCATTATATTGGCTACATTTCTTACCTAGATTGACATTCTAACAAGAATTCTGTATGGATTTTCAGTGGTTCTGATATGATTATTTGTATTCAGAGGGTCACCACCCTTAGTGCAGGACAAATGCACACCTTTAAAGTTAACCTAACTGTTGGGCTAGCAGGTCTTATCTGATTATTATAAAACTTTATTGCTTACTTTTGTTGTAAGCTGCCTCATATATTTTTGGTAATGAGGCAGGATATATAAATAAAGCAAATAAAATTGTTTTATGTAGCTTTGCCTAGAATCATAGGTCTTAGAGCCTGACACATCCTCAGAAAAAGCTGTCTGCTTTTGCAGGTAAGATATTTTCATTCCCGTTTAAAATATAGGGCAACCAAAGCACAGAATTTTGTAAATTATGTTGGACCCCATATCCAGGAAACCTAACAAAAAATTCCACCCCCAATCTTTTGAATCCTCGTACCATATTTCTTCCATTAATTCTGACTCGTCCAATCATTCTTGCCCCAAAGAGACTGTCAACGGTTCATTTATCCATCCGTCAGTCAACAGACATTTATTCAGCACCATTCAACGGCCAGTGGGACAACAGCGTTAAAAAAGAAACACTTTTCTATAGTGATGGTGATACTCATTAGACATAATTATTGAACACTTACTGTGTGTGTCAGGGGGGAGCATAATCAACCCTTTATGTACATGAGATTTTTCAGCCTTACAATAAATTTGTGAATTGTGCATGGTGCCACATTTCTCTGGCTCTTGGGTTTCTCTTTGTGGAGCTCTTGGCCATTTCTGTCTTCATGGTTCATTTAAGCTCTAATATTCTCTGAGCCCAAGTTAAAGTCTAGATCACCAATACTATGGTGCTATTTTTCTCTGGGCTGTATCTGCCAAAGCATGAAGCAGTGAGAGATCTTTTAAGTTCATGGTGAAACCAAAGAATATCCTTCCTGTCTAGAAGAATTATTAGCACCTTTCTGAGTTGAAAAGGAAATTTTTTTTTTTTTAAGATTTTATTTATTTATTCATGAGAGACAGAGAGAGAGAGAGGCAAAGGGAGAAGGAGGTTCCCAAGAAACAGGGAGCCCGATGCGGGACTCGATCCCAGGACCCCGGGATCATGACCTGAGCCAAAGGTAAACGCTCAACCATCTGAGCCACCCAGGTGCCCTTTTTAAAAAAATAAAAAAAAAAAAAAAAAAGATTTTATTTATTTATTCATGAGAGACAGAGAGAGAAAGAGAGAGGCAGAGGGAGAAGCAGGCTCCCAAGGAACAGGGAGCCTGATGCGGAAAGGGAAATATTTTAGACCATTTGTGTTTGATTAGTAGTGGTAACCTTAACTTAGTTATTAGAGTTCTAAGTAGCTGATACAATGGTATTATAAGTCACATTAAATACATTTTCATTTCTTGGAATGTTCTCCTATTGAAGGCAAGCTTCAACATCACAGCTATAATTAAATCACTGCTCTCTTAGCCCTTTTTGAACCTGTATCCTCCTAGTTATAAAGGCTGTCAATTCCTATCTTTGGGTAATAGTTGCGTAGAAGAAGGCTGTTCTTGGTCAGAAACTGAATTTCCCATACTTGTGATACACCTTCTCCTACTGACCTACTGAAATGAAAGACTGGGAGTAATGATTACATCTTATTTTCCCTCCTGTAGTAGTAGGATGAGCTGGGTCAGCAAAGCCAGTCCCTGCTGATGGCTTTAAAATACCTTTGTGATTTGGTCTCTTTGCTTTCCCATCCATTTCTCTAAGTGCCTATCACTGTCATCCTTCACCACCCTGCCAAGAGTCCAAGGTGAGAACTGCACAAATGAACAAGAGCCTTTGTGATGCTTCCTGAAGGTGTTACTTATTAAATGAGGTAGCCATGAACCAAATCTGACTGGGGAGCTACAAGGCAGTTAGTACATTTACGCAAAGATCATTCCATATATTATTTAACACATTCAAATACATTGTTACCTCTTTGCTGCAGCAGCAGAACTTGTGTGAGGGGAATATACACTCACAAGTTAATAACGTCTGACTTTTTTTTTTTCAAATGTGCTAAGAGTCACTAGGTTTCATTCCTTTGTTTGGATTGTAGCTTATTTTCTCAGAACAACTAGAGAATGTTTATGAAGTGTGTGTGTGGAGGGCGGGGAGGGGAAAGAATAAAAATGTGTTGCTTTAGGGCTGCACATCTGTTTCAGGGACTCTGCTGGATCTGCACATTAACCATTGCCACGACTTATGGCGCGTTTTAAAATTGCATTCTACGCAGAGATGTTCATCCCAACTCAAAATATTACAATTAAACAGATTTGCCTGTTAGGAGTTAGTTTCCTATCTTCATGACTGGGCAAAATTATTGTTCTGCTGTATTAGTTAGCATGTGTATGACTCATAACAAATGGTAACTCATTATTTTATTTCTTGTTCAAACAGATGGGCAATACCAAGTTGCTCAGGTCTTCCCGCAAGCAGAAGAGGAAATGGAAGTGGACACACATGCATTCAGCCACCGGTGGAAAAGGAGCTTGGATTCTCTCAAGGCAGCTGACTCTAACCGAGCAAGCATGGGCCAAGACTCCCCAGAGCCCAGAGGTTTCACAGACCTGCTACTGGACGATGGGCAGGACAACACCACGCAGATTGAGGTAGGTAAATAATCTGGGTAACTGAACTGGATTGACGACTGTATTTTCTGTGAGGCACCCAACTTTTGTGTATGGATAGGCTCCACCTTCAGTTCACTCGAGAGCTTTTGGATTTTTTGGTAAGGATCAATTTAACTCATTAGTAAATAATTAGTTAATATTCAGTAATTCAGTAGTCAATAATTATAACTATATGACATAGGTAAATACATAATAGCTAAGCCATTTAATCAGCCATGAGTACATTTATTCATGAAACAGACAAACACTGGCTTGCTATGGTGATGATCGTGAGGAGACACAAAGAGGAACAGGATACAGCACCTGCCTGCAAGGAAGTCGCTATGTAACCACATCAGCTCTGTGCTACATGATACGTACAAGGATATATAGGAGCTGGAGCCTGGCATGGAGGAGGGCGAGGTCACCTGCTTGGGCCTGAGGGTGGGCCGTTGTCAAAGAGGCTTAGCCTGGGAGCAGGCATTGAGGCAGGGGCTTGGCAGGTTGAGGGGAGTTCACCAGGTTGATTTCCTGTCAGCAGTGAGAAAGAAGATTCCTGGCAGAGTGAATTGCATCTGCAGTGGCCCAGTCTTAGAACACTGGGGCACGCTGGAGAGTCTCATAGAGTGACCAACTGTCTCTTTTACCCAGAGCTGAGTGCTTTCCTCGGGTAGAGTGCTTTCAGTGCTAAAAACAAGACAGTTCTGGGCAAACTGGAATGGTCATTCACTCTGTGACTGTAAGCAATTCTGTGTTATGGTTGGAGCTATGAAGTGGAAGGAGGACAGTTGGAGATGGGTTTAATGAGTATGGAAGTTCGCTGAGGACACATTTTGGGCAGACTGTAAGGTTGCCCAGAGGCCTCAAGGGTGGTATTATATTGCTTAAATTCCCATAGTCCTTAGCATTGCAAAGCATAAAATATGATCCTGTTAGTCCCCCAGATCTAACAAAAACAAACAGGTCAATCTTATGGAAATAAGCAAAAAAAAAAAAAAAAAAAAACACACCCAAATGAGAATGTAGGCTATTTATTCGTTTGCTCTAGCAAGAGTCAGCTTCTACCACTTCCCTCTGGCAGAGACTCAAAAGCAGGCAGGGGAGTGGGAAAGTTTCTCGCTTAAAAAAAGAGGATAGGGGCACCTGGGTATCTCTGTTAGTTAAGCCTCTGACTCTTGGTTTCGGCTGGGGTCATGATCTCAGGGTCCTGAGATCCAGCTCCGCTTAGGGCTCTGCACTCAGCAGGGAGTCTGCTTGAGGTTTCTGTTCCTCTGCCCTTCCCCCACTTTTGCGCATGCGCACACGCGTGTGCTCGTGCTCTCTCTCTCTCTCTCTCTCTCTCTCTCTTTCAAATAAACACGTCTTTAAAAAAGAGAGACATCTTCAGATATGCTTTCATGGGAAGTTGTTGGCACAGAGGAGCTGGAGACGGACTGATTAGAAGCAGAGCATCTTATGGGATCGATTTGGGGAGCATATTTGGCTTATACTGAGTTGGACCCAGAGACGAAAAATAGGAAATCTGTCAGTTGTTCATCAATTCCTGCCCTTTCTGGGCTGATTGCTGCCCCGGTTGCATTCTGGCTCCCTGGACTGGTTGCCGTAGAGTTTGGAGGTCAGAGTTCTATGGTCATCCGTGGTCTGACCATTGTCTGTTTGAAAATCCTCTCTTGACCTCTTGAAGGTTTAGTTCCTATTTTCTCCCAGGTAGCAGGTTTATACGTTTTCAGAACCAGACAAGATTCTTTTTACTGCCCTGAAATACTCATTATTTAGGAAAAGAACTCAGCTTCATGAAGCAGACACTACATCGTTCTCCAAATAGTATCAAGGCATCATTTTGTTCCCGCATAGTGAGAGGAATCTTCAGAAGATCTGAAACCCAGGCCATTGGGATTCTGTGGATGTGAGAGGCCCAGCAATTTTCAAAGCCCCTCTCTATCTCCTTAGCTAGTATGTGACTCTGGTGGTCCCTGGCTGCCCCAACCAGGCCCCTTAACAGGCCACAGAGGAGGTGCCAGGAGCAGAAGTCATATAATATCTGTAAGAGGCTATTCTGACTCCTGCAGAGTGCCTGCTATTTTGGCAACAGTGTTGTTATAGCAACTCGGAGAGGGTAACATAATTCTTCCCTGAGCACTCTTTAGCTGGGGTGCGGCATAAAGAAAAGAGAGCTGAACAGAAGCAGAGGTGTTTACTCTCTGCCCAGAACTGGTAGCTCCCTGAGATTGAAAGGGGAGAACACACATTCCTAGAACTCCGTGATCTCTATACAGGATGCTGAATTTTCCAAATCATTCATAAAATAGAAAATCCCTTTGCTTGGGGATGTATGAACACTCCTCAAAATATAATCCCCGTTGTTGTTATAGCCGTGATGTTGTTTTTCAGCCATTTGTTCTCTTTTTCTACCTTAACAGAGGAGATCCCATAATGTCAGGGATTTTGAATCAGTAAAACAAAGGAGGGAGAATAGTGCTGGTGCAGGGAGCAGTGTACTGGGTAATCACTTGGTGCTGTCATGTGCCGGGCGCTGTATGGAGATCATCTTGCCTGGTCTTGACATCAGCGTACTGAGATTTGTGTCTCCAGGTTCACTGGGTAATCTCAGTGCCTTTTACACGACGGCAATTTCAGATTTAGGTTTAGTATTTCCCTAAACTCTTCCATTAATGAATAAAGGGGCTGGTATTTAAACCCAGACCTGCCCAGCTGCCAAGCTTTATTCTTTCTACTTGGCTTTGCTTCCTCTAATAGAAGGAAAGTAAATGGTACTTTGATTAGGTAATGATTTTGGACAGTGGCAGCACCCCAATATCGATGAGAGAGCGCCTTCAGGGTTTCAACCTGGCGGGAAGGAGACTTCTCCCGAAGCTAGATTTCATAACAATATGGCTGCTTTTATTTGAAGAGTTTATTTATTCTGATGAGGTTCTGAGGATTGATGGAGATTATTGGGGACTGAAGTCCCATAAGTCACTCCTTGGCACTACCTCTAGTTCTGGAAACAAAAGCCTACATCTGAAACTTCTCTGCAAAGTTTATTTATCCTGGCCCTCGAAATGGCATTTTTGAACATTGTTGTGTCTCTTTTAGGCAAAATATTTTTGCCTGATGGAGTTAAACAGAAATAAGGAAGAAAGAAACCAAATGGTGATAGAGGGGCTACTCTGTGCCGGGCATTGTGACAAGGTCTTTCTTATCTCTTGGGAATAAGCATTTTGATTTATATTGCTTAATACAAGCAATGAGCATGAAAGACGATGTGTGCTTTTTCCCTTAGATGCTTCCAGAGTTGATGTCAAGAATGGGAATTATTTTACTCCAGAGCCCTGACTATAGTTAGTGGCTGTGAAAATAATTTGTAACTCAGTGAGACTTCAACCCCCCAGAATGGCATTCCTATGCATGTGCCCCCTGGTTCTGCCATTGTCTAGACTTTCTACCCCACTTTCACCGAAGACAAAAACAAAAGAAAATAGCATATTTACTATTCTGGCACAAATTCTTTCAGACATAAACAAAAGCTGTTATTCTCTTAACTTGGTGACAGTATTTTTTTCTGGCTCTACACAAGAACAGATAATAGAGGGACTGGAAACCTGGAAAATTCTTCCAGTCAAAGTTTCTTGTTGTTGTCATTGCTTTTTTTTTTTTTGATATTCTTCTCCTGAAGATATAAAGATGTTTGAAACCGTTTGTATTTCCTGATAAATAAGTAGGGACTCAACAGTTGGCAGACGCCTCTTGATCTGAATGCTGACTTCGGCTAGCCTTTTCTTCTTGTACTTCCTCTGTTCATGTGGACATGTAACCACTTGGCCATGTAAGAAGAATGGTGCCTTCTTCTGATGGGTGGGGATTAAGAGCAGTCACTGGTGTGCTACTTTTTGTAATTCCTTTGGGAATACAAGGTCTCCCAAGACTTTCAGGTAAGGCTGAATCGCGTTCATGATTCAACCGTGTGAGAGCCACCTTCAGTGGGTCCCATGGCCCCTGGGACCCTAGAGTGGGTGAACAGCAAGTGTTTTCACCTTGTTGCTGGCTATTCCTCCCTTGCTGGCCTGGAGCTCTTGCAGCCTCGGGGGCACCTTATGGAATGAGGAGGGCCTGAGCAGTGTTTGGTGAGAATTATTGATCCTCATGAAGATCAGTTTCATCAACTGACTCCCGGTCACAGTGTTCGTAACTTACAGAAATCCGTTCCAAATTCCTTTCTCACACACTGAACCATACATGGAGTTTCTGTCACGTATTCCCATGCAATATTTTGAGCTTCATCTTCCCCATCTTAGGACAATGAAAATGTTTTTGGAAAGGATCTTCAACTGTGATTTCTTTTTTTCTTTTTTTTTTTTTTGCCTTGATTCAAAAGCACTAGGATGACTTGAAGAAGGGAATATTCAAAATAGGGTTTATGGATCATAGGAGTGTAGCTCCATGGTCCAAAGTGACTCAGAAATTGTGAGTGAGCCCAGTGCCTCTCAGGGGTTGCACGTGTGACCAGACCACAGGCCACACTTTGAGTTTCGGAGAGTTAGACCACAAAGCAGATTTCGCTATTGATTTTGAAGATATAAATGTTCTGAAAAATCTTAGGTTATAAATTGAATTGCGTACCAACAACATGTCTTGTGGACTTCTCATTTTGGTACCAAATTAAAAATTGCAGGCATATCCAGCAATTATACCATCTATGTTCACATTAAAGCTCTTATCTGAGGAAGGTATAATTGAGAATGATCAGCAAATATGTGTGATGGATATAGCTAAAATCCAGAGACCAACTGTTTTTCTTCTAGATACATATGTAAAAACTTTTTTTGATCTTCTGCTATAGCACATTTCCAATTGTGTCTGCATCTTACTTTTAAAAATTTTGCAATACATTTCTTTAAAAAGTTAGCAACCGCTAATGGCTGCACATAAGGTTATTATATATGCTCTAATATTGTATTGCAGTCCATAATTAATCTGCTGGAAAGGAAAGAAGTCACTGG